GAGAAGAGAAGAGAAGAGAAGAGAGAACACACATCTGTATACACGTCCAAGTGAAGAAATCTTCCAGTTGTCCCCATGCATCAGGACAGGCTAATGGGCCAATGATATCCCATAAACTCTAGCCTTTTTGGTTCAAAAAATACTTTATGCCTTGGCACGTTGAATTCTCACATATTTGTAAAACTCCTACCCATTAGCACTTGTTAATGGTCTGAAGGAGCAGAGATAGCACAGCACAGTGGAAGAGCATTGGGCTGGAGCTGGGAGACAGGCTGAGGACTGGCTGCACAGTTCCCTACCACTGCGGTGTGCAGCTCATCCCTGAAACTCTTTGGGACTCAGTTTCTCCATCTGGAGAGAGTGGAGAAACTCTGAGTTCTGCCTATCTTCTTCAGAAGAGTTTTGGGAATAAAATGAGAGATGGATAATTTACAAACAACTGCACACTGTCTGGCCAGGCCCCCAGCCAGCCTCCTGCCTCACGCCGCACACTTCCAACTGCCCTGCGGAGAGAGTTGTCAGACCTGAGAAGAGGCTCTGCTTAATGTGCCATGTTTGCACATATGAGAAAAATGTTCAATAGGGGGTGGGGTTGTAGCTCAGTGGTAGAGTACTTGTCTAACAAGTGTGAGGCGCTGGGTTCAATCCTCGGCACCATATTTTAATAAATGAAGTCCCATGAACAACTAACAAAATATTTTTTAAAAATTAATCCAAGAAAATTAATCCACCACAGTAGGGACTCTGGGTTCCTACCCTCAGCAGAGCTGTTGACAAGTGGACAGAGACAGGATGGCATTTCCTCTGGGCTCTTCCTGTTTTCCCCAACCCTATCAAACACCTCTCAGCCCTGGGCTAAAGCTTCACCTCCCTTGTCTCAACCACCCTCTTCTGTTAAATCAGGAACAATGGCTCCTAATTCAGCAGTGATCTGAAAAAACGGAGCCATTTTAGAGCATCGAGCACGATGCCAGACCCAGCACAAGGTCTGGGGACCAGGGTAGGGCTGGCCGCCCACTGCTGCCTCCTTACCCTCCACAACGCCCACACCCACACTGCTGCGCCGCGTGTTCATCGGGGCCACAAAGAACCACTCGTTGGTCTTGTAGCTGTAGGCTTCCACCGACGCCAGGCCTGGGAGACAAGAGACTCGTGAGGTTCTGCGGCACCAGGCCTCCGCTGACAGTGGGGAGTCCAAACCTGGGGGCTGCAGACCTGCATGCATGGCCTGGTGCCACCTCTGCCTCTCCATGTGGCCCTTGATGACTCCCTGAAACACAACTGCAGTGGCCACCTGAGGGGACACTAAGACTTGACTCAGAGGACGGGTTATGAGTGGACAGGGGTGTGCCTGAGCTGTTCTGCCAAGGTAAATAAGTCACTGAACTCACAGAAAGGAATGCTTTGATTCCAGACGTGAGGCTGCCTCATCGAGCCCCTGTTCCAACCCCCTTTTCCCTGGTCTTCCTCTGCCTCCGGAGCTAGAAAGTTAAAAACTTGCCTTTGAAGATTCCCTTGCAGCTAGGGGTGACCAAGTCAATGATATCTAAGTAGAAATCTCATTGGGATTTCTGAAATAACCTTTACTTTTCTGAGATAGGTATCACTCTTTCTTGCTTCTTGTTACCTGGAACACAAATGTATTGGCTGGAAATAGAACAGCCACATTGTGATTAGAAGGAAAAAAGGCCCAGAGAATCTTAGGAACTTGGCCCCAATTTCCTTGAGCAATTAGATCAAGTCAGGAACTCCTTTTTTTGTTTCTCAAAAATAAAACAAAAATTCTTTATTTTAAAGCCATAGTATAGTTGGACTTTCTACTTAGAACCAAAAAAGCAGGTCCTAAATGACACAATGTACCGCTATCCCTTCTGCTCAATAAACATAGCCTCCAGAAAAGCTAAAGACCATGGACTTTGTGAAGCAACATGAAGAATGAGAAACATCACCAAATCGTGAATACATAAATGAAACTTTCGAGAAGTAAAAAATATTGTATTTTTACTTTTTCTTCCCTTGTGGCTGAAGAACACTATTTTATTTTAGTGAGTTGGTTTCTACAGAGACATCTACCCAGCAGTATGAGTACAGATGAGATCTTCTCTCCAAGTCCATGTCTTCTAATGGTTCAGACTGAAATTTTTGAAGCAAGGTAAAATCCAGGAGCAAGGAGTCCACCTGTGGTAGCCCAGTCTAGTGAGGCTCAGTGGGGCAGTAGAAAGGGCAATGGACAAGCCTGGCTGCCAGTGTGGCCTGAGCCAGGCTTCTTCCCACTGCTGAGCCTTTGTTCCCTTATTTGTTCAGTAGAAGGTGCAGACTAGGGACACTTGAGTGGAGGCTCCTTCCCAGAGCCCTAGAGATCATACATGGAGAGTTTCATAGTCTGTATGAATATGTTCCTATTCTTTGGGGGCCTGGCTATGGCTCCAAAAGCTGGGTAAGGAAGGATGGTGCCGTAGTTTGGTTCCTATTGCCCCCAAAGGCCCATTGTTGAAGGCTTGGTCCCTGGATCAGTGCTATAGGATACCTTCAGCAGAAGGGGCCTTGAAGGAGGTCTCCGGGTCACTAGGAGTGTGCCCTTGATGGTAGTGTGGGTCCCACTTCCTGTTCCCTTTTGCTGCCTGGTGATGAGGCGGGCAGGTTTGCTTGGCCATGTGCTCCCTCCATGAGGTGCTGCCTCACCACAGTCCTAAAGCAAAGGGTGACCTGAGCAGGGACTTGACCTTCAAAACCATAAGCCAAAATAAATCTTCTTCTTATAACTATCCCAGAGGAAAGCTGAGTAACATGGATGTGTGTGTTGCTGAGGCAGTGCTGCAGAAGGACAGATATCAGCCCAGCAACTGGCTGGACAAAATGAGGCTGCATGGAGGGTGTACCCAGGTGAGGATGGGGAGGGAATAGGTCCTGGACCTACCAGTACTGCCATCGAAGCCTCCCACCGCGTACAGCAGGTCATTGAGCACGGCCGCACCCAGTGTGCTCCGGCGCTCCTGCATGCTGGCAATGGACGTCCACTGGTCCTTCACACCGTCATACACGTCCACAGTCCGCACCCTCAGGGAGCCATTAAATCCGCCCACAGCATACACGTGGCCAGCCATGAACACCACACCTGAGGCACAGGAAACCAAGGCACGAAGGTTAGATCAGGTGGCTGGCTGAGCGTGTTGTTGCATGATAACGTGGGAGCAGGCAGACAACACATAACTCACCACAGAAGACGATCTCCGACTACAGACACCTGGGGGTCACTGTGGGGCTCACTGGATTTCTTTTCCCATTTGCTTTTCTAATTTTGCTTGATTCAAGCAAATGCCTGAATTTGCTTACTCTCCCAACTACGAAAGAACTGATGGGAGAAGGGACAGCCCAAAACCGAGCAGGTAGGGAAGGCAAGGGAGCCTGAAACACACAGGTGTCTGAAGAACTAAGGAGCACTGTGTGACTTCCAACACAGGGTACTAACCAGCCAGGAAAACGCAGCTGCTAGACTGGGGGACTCACCGGCTCTGCATCTCCTGGATGGAAGCTCTGCAATCTGATCCCACCGGTCCTCCTCAAAATCATAGCACTCCACGCTGCGGATTGCCTTGGGTGCTTGGCCACCAACCACAATCATGACCTCCAGAAAGACAAGGGGACATTAGCTGGGTCTTCCTAACACCAGATTAATGGGTGATCTATCCCTGGTTCTTCTACATGCTTAGTGCCCAGGGGCTGAGCGTTATCTGAGCTCACAGTTTACAGAGGTACATATGTGAAGATGCTGCCCCTAGTCATCAACATATATGAATATTAAAGAAAAAGCTAACAAGCATCTTCCTACAGAAACACAACCACAAGTTCTATAGTTCCAAAATACCCTAGTTGGGGCAATGGTGGGGGTACATTAAGCTTAAGCATCCTCCGCAATCTCAGTGTCCTGGAGGACTGGGATGGGAAGTTCAATTTTACAGTGAAACAAACTTGAATATATTTTAGAAGAGTGCAGATTTGGATGCATTAAGAAAAAAATTATTATTTAAAAGTATTTCTAAATGTCTAGCCTGCAGGGCACACTCATTGCAGTATAGAAAAAAATATTTGTACAATAGTATATGTGTGATGGTTATCACAAAACTTATTTAACTGATGATGCTTTGAAAAATGGCACTAACAGTGGCTATTTCCACAGGTACAGCAGTCACTATCACTGTCGGGCAGTGTTAAGTGTGTCGTCATTCACTTGTCACCATGACCCTGTGAGACAAACATTATCATCCAGATGAGGGGAGTAAGCTCAGAGAACAAGGGCCCAAGGTCACCCATGTAGGGGTGGCAGAAGAGAGGCTAAAACTGCAGGCAACCTGACACAGACCTGAGGCTGGCCCTACCCCTCCTGTTCTGAAGACTAGGTCCGTAGCCCATGAAAACACAGGTCATTGCATCTGTTTGTCAAAATGTAGGTCACATTTCATTAGTGGGTTATGAAATCAATTCAGTGGGTTACAACTAGTGTATTTTTGTAAACAGGACAGAAAATACCATAGCAAGGATGCTATGTCATGAAATAGCCAGGACACCTGTGTGTCCTCCAGATGGCATTTCCTACTGCAGGTCAAAAAAAGGAAAACCATCGCTAAACTGTGGAACCAACCGAGATGCCCTTCAGTTGATGAATGGATAAAGAAAATTTGGTATGTATACAAATGGAATACTATTAAGCATTAAAAGAAAATAAAATCATGGCATTTGAAGGTAAATGGATAGAGTTGGAAAATATAATGCTAAGTGAAGCTAGCCAATCTAAAAAAAAAAAACCAAATGCCGAATGTTTTCTCTGATATAAAGATGCTGATTTATAATGGGGTTGGGGGGGCAGCATGGGTGGATTAGATGAACTCTAGATAGAGCAAGGGGAAGGAGGGGAAGGGAGGGGGAATGGGGGTAGGAAAGAGGGTAGAATGAGATGGATATCATTACCATAAGTACATGTATGAAGACATGAATAGGGTGACTCTACTTTGTGTACAACCAGAATTATGAAAAATTGTGCTCTATATGTGTAATATGAATTGTAATATATTCTGCTGTCATATATAACAAATCAGAATAAAAGGAAAGCCATCACTCTGACTGCATTCATTAACAGAACTGCAGTGCGTACCTAACTGTGGCACATCCCCATTATTGAGACTCTTGTCACATGCCACCACTAAATAAGAATTAAAATACCAGAGCGAACTGTAGTTTACACATTTTAATAACTGGGCACATTCACACTGTTACTGTATGACACAGTACACTCAATTGCACCCCAATACATTTTCCTGAGCAGAGAGAAAAGGGTAGAGGCCACAGGCAGCCAATACAAGCCACGGGATTGTTTCCTGCAACCTGTCTTATTCACCCAATGGTTCCCAAAATTCAGTGTGCATCAGGTTCACCTGAAGGGCTGTGAAAACACAAACTGTGGTCCCCCACTCAGAATTTCTGATTTAGCAGGTCTAGAGTAGGGTTGATAATATAAATTTATAACAAATTCCCAAGTGATGCTGTTGCTCTGTTCTAGCTTTCATACTCGGAGAACAACTTTTTTAACTCATGGCCTGAAGGAATTTCATAATGATACTAATGGTATGCCATCAACAATTTTTGCCATTACTAATAATCATAGTGCTTTTTACTTCACCACAATGTACTCTGGGGGAGAGGATAGATCATCAAAACCTGCATGAGCACACAAGAGCACAACTCTCAGATGGACATTATCTACCATAAGGGGAAGCAAAACCAGATCAGACAACCATTGCCCGAGATCAACCATTTATGCCCCAAGATGCCAGATTAGGCTCATGCACTGCTCACATGGTGACTGCTGATCACCAGAGTTAGCCCACCAAATGTGAGTCATAAAACATTCAAAGCTCAGAAATCAGTTCTAACTTCTAAAGCATTCCACAGGAACTCGAGACACAGGTCAGGCTTAAACTACTACTGCTTCCAGGCAGGCTTTCTTCCATGCCTCAACTCAGAAGGTCCCACTGCTCTGTGTCAAGAGCAGCCTTTTTCAGAGAAAAGCTTGATTCTTTCCATCTGTGATTCTTTGCTTACATAGGTAGCCATAAGCAGGTCCGGGGTATACTAATGAACACAGCCTCTTAGCAAACTTCAGATTATGCCCAACGTACTCCTCCAGAGCAAAAAGGCTAGTCCTATGTTCATAAGCATACCTAGAACTTGCATTGTCCTAAACTAAACTGAAGACAAGATGTTGCAAGGATTTTCTTTGAAATCTAATTTCTGGAGTTGAGAGGGAATAAACCCAGATTTTAGTTTTCTCTCTGCAGGATGCCACCCCTCGCTCTTGCATACAACATTCCATCTACTTTAGATATTCTTCCTCTTTTTGATCCTTTTGCTTTAACACCTGCTTATCTTCCAGGTCTTAGTTTACAAGTCTCTTCCCCAGAGAGAGCTTCTTTGACTCTGTGTCTGAGTTGCATGTCCCTCCACAGAGTGCTCAGCTACTCTGTGTGCTCTGCCTTGTGCTGTGACCATTTAGTGATTTGTCTGTCTTCCCACCTAGACAGTAAACCCTAGCAGGACAGAAAATCTGTCTGCATCAATTACCAAAATAATCCAAATAATGTCCTTATATTGCCAGATAAAACTGAGGGCTCAGATGTTTCTTTGAAATTAAAAAATTAATAAATAAAAAGTAAATAGCAAGGAGTCGAATGAAAAAAATGAAATGAAAAAAATATAAAACTGGAATGTCACTTTCTTTGGTTAAGATGTGTTGGAACACTAGATTATAATTCTGGCAATATTGAGGAAAACAAATGATATAAAAAAGGAAAAGTAAGAGATTTTCCCACCTTTTGACTCAACCATCAGAACAAAGCATTACTTGTTCCTTGCACAAAGTATCAAGCTTTTTCTTTAAATTAAAAAAAAAAAAAGGTAAAGCTTTCAGGAAACCTCACCATGTCCTAGAAACTGTCTCCTGCCAAGTGAGGGGGCACATTCATACTGGAGAAAATCCATCACTTGTGGAAGAACTTTCATTGTAACACAGAAACAATATTACAGAAATGGAAAGTTTCTCGTGTTAAAATAAAACCTGAGTAGAAGGACAAAAATAATACAGGACACATTTTCAAAATAAACTTGCCTCTGAGCTCACAAAAACACTGATGAGAAATGACTTTTAACATTCAAACCTTGTATGATAGTCTGAAAAGAGGAACCGTAAAGGTTTTGGTAGGGTAGGATGGTCACTTCTGGGGGGGGGATGGTGGATCAAAGCAGCAAGGAGAAGCGAGTATACATTCTGCTTCTTTGCAGGTATAAGAAATCCAATTTTTATGGCAGTTATCGCAAGAAGCCATTTGTACATGGAGCACAGTATCCCCCATTGTGGTGATCATGCAGAGTATAAAGAATAAATTTCCTATCTTGACTATTACAGAGAAGTTGTTTCCATAGATACCTGATCTTAACAACCAATTAGGCAAATATGAGTATTCCCAAAGTCTACATGTGTTACATCTCTGAAATTACAAACTTCTTGCTGCTTAAGACCACAGGCTGTTAGGGCAAGGACAGACTTAAACCATTTTCTCTGGGGAGCCCTCACCCAGGCCCAGGTAGTTCAACAGGGATATCCCTTTCTTTCCCCAACACTGATAAACCCCAGCTTACTAAAGACTTATGAGGTCTTCAACAAAGACAATGGAATCACATCAGCTTCTTTTATTGATCACTATTTTTTTTAAAGTGACAGGGTCTCACTATGTTGTCTAGGTTGGCCCCGAACTCTTGGGCTCTAGTTGTCTTCTGCCTCAGCCTTCCCAGGACTACAGGCTCCATCCATCACACCTAGCAATGATTACTATTTTTTAACATTTTGTATAAGCATAATTGGTAATATAGGAATCCTAATAAGCCCAAGAACTGGTTCTGGTCTAACAATGATGCTGGACTGAACATCATTTAATCACTCCTGAGGACTGCAATGTCCTTGGGAGTCTTGTTAGTTGCCTCAGGGTCCTGATCCCAGGTCTCCACTGTGTTAAAGGCTGCAGACATTCTGGTGCCTGGAAAGCTCTGGTTTGTAGAACATGAGTGGTTATTCGACATCTCTCAAAGAAAACACCCTCTCACTTCGGAAGGTAAAAGGGACATTTGCTTTAGTGAGACCACAGAAAGACAACCTGCTTTCTTAGAAAAGAAATTCCAGAATAACAAGTTTTTCATACATATATAATGTTCTTTTGCATAGATCATTCTGGTTCTACCAGTATGACTGGGATTGAAGGTATGTTGGTCTCTCCTCACTGAAATGATAACCACTCTGTCTAAGAACCATTAGGTAGGAGAGACTAGTCAGGAAAAGGGACAGTTGGTGAACAGAACAGAGCTTTCAAGACCCTAACCCTGGCCTAGGGCTACAGAAGTAATTGGCATCTCCACTCAGGTGAAAGGAGCAACCTGGGTTCTGCACAGTTTCTTCACAGGGCAAGAGCAGAGTATGTCCAAACTCTATTCCATGACCAGCGAGCTGGGCAGAAGGCAGGCCCAGCCAGTCGGTCCCTCGGGCCAGGGCAGGAAGTGAGTCTCTCTTACCCTGGTGCGTGG